TTTCACATTTTCTGAAATCTCTTTATACATCCTTGCTTAATATATATCACTGTTTATTTCCTTATTGTTTCATCCACTGTCCTCTCCCATTCCTTACGTGAGGGTGGCATCTCTGCAAGCCACCTCTGTGCAATCAATTTGCGCGCCTGAAATAAACGACGAGTGGTTACCTCCCATACCTCCTTCACTGCCTTGTCCTCATCAATATAACCTAATATGCATAGCATTGGATCTAACCCGCAGGTTACCCCATACGCCACTTTTATTGTATCTAAAACATCTATCCAATACCTTTGCAACTTTGGGCATCTCCATACCATGTGAATGAGGTCTCCTTTCTGATCTCCACATCTTGGGCATCTGGCATCCTGTCTCCACCCCAAACCAAAAAAGTTTCTGCGGTGTACGGTATGCCCTATGCAGTAAAAAGAGGTGGAACATTCTCTGTGAAGGGGAAGAGGATACCATCGGCCCTGTCTTTAATATATGTATCCACTGTTCATCTGTAATATTTCCTATGTCCTCCTCCCATTTACTCCTACATGAAAGTACTTTCTTCCCTTCTATTGCCACCTCACATATACCTACGTATAACTCTGTACCTGCGCAATTCTCAGTCCATTGCAGTCCATTCATAATAAATCAGCTACCTTAAAGTAATGTACGTTAATGTGCGATATAATGCAATGCAATGGACCAGATAACTCTGGAGAACCCTAAAGACCAACTGAAGGCAATATGTGAAAACAGTACAATCAGGGCATTTCCAATGCAATCCACTGTACGCTACAAATGTGCTGAACTCAGAAAGTTAGTGCCTGTCAGTTTGTAGGCTATGGAGCTATCAGTCCTCTTAATGTGCGACCCATTCATGTTTACTGAAGAGCACTGGGGGCATGACCACCCCAGCTGGGAACACTTTGCCAGCCAATAACTCCAACCAGAAAAGTTCTTCCTGACAGGAAGTAGTGCTAAGTAGATGGCCTAATTGGAGGGATTCAGATATCTCTTAAGTGTAAAAGCAAACGCAAGAAAGCATTTATCCAGCAAATGGAATTAGTCATGGACCTGTGACTTTGCAGAGCAGATACACAGCTCCATGTGAAAAGCTGGGCCTCAACATGAGGGATTATATGTCACCGCTGTGTCACAGGGGAAGTCATGGTTAATAAGAGCACACAGGAAAAAACACCCATTCCAGGCAGTGATTGCTTGTATTATCAACAGCTTGCTGAGATCCTTTAGTAATGAAGCAATATTTTATTAATTTATTTCAGGTACTTCTATAGCGCCATCAATTTACGCAGCACTTTACATACATATATTGTACATTCACATCAGTCCCTAACACTCAAGGAGCATACAATCTAAAGTCCCTAGCTTACATTCATACATACACATACTAGGGCCAATTTAGACAGGAGCCAATTAATATTGACAGCAGTCTGAACTGTACAGTCAGTTTGGGTAGTATGAGTAAAGCATACCTACCTCCCAAATGTCCCTCCTTTGGAGGGATAATACCTGTTCTGGAACCAGAACCCTCTGTCCACCTTCCTCAGTTGGCCATATTTGTGGCTTGATGTAAGGATTTTTATTAAAAAAAAAATGCATTAACTACCAAAAGTGTATTAGCACACTAAACATTTCATCTAATCCTTAATTTCTTTAATTGTTGTTTTGAAAATCCAAAATAAAGGAAAATAATGATAAACAACTGAGTTAAAGCAGTTCTTTTTTTTCTCAATAGGTCTAATGGTCTGGGCTACTGGAGTCATGGCAGGGGTGTTTTATTACCCTACATACTACATGCTTTAATGTCTCTTCCCATCTCACAAAGTTGGGAGATGAAAAAGCGTTCCCTAAATGTGACAGCGATGTCTAGTTGATCCACCATATTTATGTTTGGTATTCATGCATACATTTAAAAAGCCATGTATTATAAATGTGGTCTTCCAAGGACTAGGACATGTTTTGCTTATGCCATCCTCTTAACTGGTTAAGAGGTTCACTTCTGCATAGGGATGTTCTCTTTTACCATTCATCTTCATCTCTTGGCACCTTTTACCTTCCTGCCTTCTTTTAATTTAAACCAAAGGCTTACTGTCATTCCCTTCTATTAGATTCTTTACATTTAAGGTGTGTGCAAACCCTATTTTTTGTATCTTTGGGATTATGTCTTAATATATATAGTTTTCTTAAGCAAATCTTTGAACATTTTGCTGTTTCTTACCTGGAGATCCTGCCAGTAGCAGTACTTTTTTTGCAGACTGAAAACACAAAGCCACTGCTCTGCACAGGAGCAGCTTTGTTAGACTTCTGATAGACCTGATAGGCAGTTCCATGGCTAACTAAATGATAGCACAGGGGAAGTCTGATAAAGCTGCCTGTTGTTATTTGCAAAGCAGCGGCTTAGTGTTGTTACTGGCAAGATCTCTAGGTAAGAAACTTTGCAATAGATATAGAAGAAAGATGTTTGCTTGAAGTGTTACTAAACCCAGGACCCTGCATTCACTATATCTGGTCTCTTACAGTACACAGAACATGGAAATGCAATTATTTTAGTAAATATAAACTGCTAAATACCTTTTCTCCTCAGCAGTTAGAGCAGTCTTGTGACTTCTATCAGTGTCCAGCACAGCACTGGTTACAGCTTGTAGGAGGAGTTTTCATTCTCCTGTGGGAGGATGCAGGACCCCTGACCTCTGTCTGGAGAGTGCTGATTAGCCCTGTGCTGATTGCATGCACTCTTCCAAGAAAAGGAAAAAACTCTCTAGCTATATACATCAAACTGAGCATGTGCAGCGTGTCCCCAAGGCTCTGTTCTATCAGGGGATATTTAGAAGACACTTGAAGAAGGGGAGGATAAGACAAGAGAGGATCAAACTTCCTTTTTACACAATGTGGAGGATTAACCCCTTAAGGTTCCAAAGTGAGTATAACAAGCATGCTTTACTGCATATACAGACTGATTTTACTGTTGTTGGTTTAGTAACACTTTAAGAAAATTACAGCAAGGAATGATGCCATTAAGGCTAACATAGATTTAGGGTTTAAATACACTTTAATAATATATCTTATGTATGCTATATCTATTCAATATGCTTTAATAGCAGTGTAACAAAAATAGAAAATACTCTATTATGGCACATATAAAATACAAATATAGCATTGATTTTACTGATATCTTTTCCCTACATCCCTCTGCTGCTGTGAGGTGCCCTTTAAATCTAGATTTACAAACATTTATGGTGGAATCCCATATAATTTATCTCATTGTAAAGTTATTAATATAGTTACCTTCTACGCTGCAGTCTTCTAGTAATGTATATTTATTAGTTAGTTGATCATACCCAGACATTTCAAGATCAGTCCTACAGCAAGTCATGTGCATACAGATTCTGTAATGGACATGGCCAGAATTATACTTTCTACTACCCTAGGCCAGCTGTCTTATGCCTTATTTCTCCCCCAGTTCAAGTCAACTAGCTAACCTTGGTATCACAATGAAGAGATCAAACATTATTCCTACACAAGGCGTACTGGGACTAGGGACAGAATGGACAAAACAGACAGTTTGTCTACTTTAAATTAGTATTCCTGAAACCAATGACTAGAATATCTCTGATCTATCTTCATCTACCATTCCAATGGAACCCTTCTCAAATTTTGCCTTGAATATTCTTCTTTGAATACTCACTACAACCACCAAGATATACACTCATAAACTGTCACTCTATTTTACTTGAAGGTCAGTTTACAGTTCTGGAACCCTATAAACCAGCCTACCTTAACCAAGATTTTATAGAACCCTAAGATTCTTCCAGAGGTTTCTGGAGGTCCCTTGAGCAATAAACAATTTCTGCCTCTTATATAAGCTACTTTTGACATCAAAGATCCTTTCCAAGTACCTGTAAGCTGAGCATTCTTCCCAGCAATGTAAGGCGTTCTCTTCTCACTGACCACCTGTGTGCAAGGGTCCTTCAATGACCACCAGTGTAAGGGGGCACTTATCCTATGTCTTTCAATGTAAAGGGTCACTTTTCCCTTGACCATCAATGTTAGGGAGTGCAAGATTTTCAGTGTCTGCATTTCTTTTCTGGTTATTATTGTCTTTTATTTCATTATTACTGCTACTTTCCTTATTCTTTTTTTTCTTGTAGCCACATCTTACTGTTCACATTAATGTCTCATGTGTTGTATATGTAATAACTATTAGCAGGGACCTGAAAGTTTTTTCACAGGTTCATGTTTGTTCAAGAGGTTGGAAAAGGCTGCTCTGAACCATTCCACCAGTAAAAAAACACATTCTGTGCAGCAGGGGCGGACTGACCATTTGGCAACTCGGGCACCGCCCGAGGGCCTGGGGTCAGTAGGGGGCCCCATAAGATGCCCCTGGTACTGTCAGGAATGGACTTGCCAATAGTGGTGGGACTCACCTGCCTTGTGGGCTGCAGTACCAGGGCTGGCCAGCGGGTGCTCTCAACAACCAGAGGTTCACTTCGGCAATTAGCCATCACCTGGGGCTGATTGCAGGTGGTGTATTTAAGGGATGGCCAGACCTGCAGTCTGTGCCTTGGTGTGTGTTTTTCCATGGGCCCTTGTATCTAGTAACCTGCATTCCTGTTCCTGTTTCTGCCTGACTTGTTGCCGACCCTGCCTGATCCTGACCTCTGCTGACTTCTCCTGTTTGATCCCTGGCTTGTGACCCTGACTACTCTCCGCCTGCTCCTTCTGTACCTACCTGCCTGATAGTTATCGACCCGGCCTGCCTGACTACGTTGTGCTCTATATGTGTATGTACCTGTGTATCTATATCAGTTTAGGTTTGGGTTTGTTTCACCTTGTTGTATGCATTTGTGTTAGCTTGGGGTTTGGTGCACTGCGTTTATATTTGTATTGTTAGTCTTAATAAATTGTCTGTCTTATTTATACCATATCTGAAGCCTGCGTTTCCGTGTCAGTACACACACCTCTGGTCACACCCGCATCCCTGACAGGTACCTTTTTCATAGGCTTTTTTGAGTTTGGGCAAGGACACACGGGGCCCATGATCCCCTATTGCCCGGGGGCCCCATGAGTTGTCAGTCCGCCCCTGCTGTGCAGGCAGGGCAGCAGTGTGGATCCTTTTTCTATACACAGGAATGTGACATCAACAGTCAGCAACATGATGTGCAGTGACTATGTGCTTTGCCACCCTAGCCAAGGCCAATATAGGCTTTGCAGGAATTTGGCTCTGGGTGGATATTGGCCACAGCAAATTAGATCACCTGGGCTGTGGTTTTAGTTTAGTTTTTGCCTATTTTGTATGCTGGACACAAGAGAAGCTTGCTTGGGGGCTCCCATAAACATGAAATTCAAGAAACTCCAAAAAAAATTTTTTTCAGTTTTTTTTACCAGAGTTTAAAATCATACTTCATTATGAAAATGATACTCGTACTTTGGGCTTCCCACCTGTAGCCCAGTGAATTGGGAGATATTCCTGCTGATACCTGGATGCGGAGTTCGCACATTTACCTTTGCACGTGACACAGCTATGAACAAGGGGTTGCTTCTCCTCTGCTCTCTAGAAATACCACAAGGCAAAGTGTGATTCTCAGTGAGAATTCCCTAAAGAGTGCAATTCTTGCTGCAGATGTGCCAACAGGTTTGCAATGGCCTTTACGGTGTGGTCACCAGAACAGTGAACAGTTGACCTGTTTCCCTGAACTCCAGGTGTTCTGGTGCGGTCAGAATGCACAATTGTTCTTTTATAGCACCCTGTATAAACCTAACTGAGCTATGTACTGCATAATGCCTCTTTAAATAAGTCTCCAATTATCACACATTTGACAATCATTTATAAAGGCACGGTAGGGGTATAAAGGTGTAAGGGTCTACCATTGCCCTGGACGTATCTAAAAGCTCAGGTGAAGCTGAACCCCATACAAAAATCCAAAATATTGCTGCTTACCAGTCCTTGTTCTTAGATGTAGTTCCTGCATAAGTTTTCTTTTTTCAAACTTTTTTCCTTTTATTTTCATCTGGTAATCCTGTGAATAGGGGTTAGTACCCCTTTTAGGGAAACCACGCCCCTAGGTGGATGCTTTGGGTAGGGCTAGTTAGTCATTTATAATCCAGAGCTAGAAGAGCTTGAGGCAAGGGTTGCCTTTAGCATACTATTATGTGAACTTGTTGTAGCTTATAGAAGTGAACTCTTTGGGGTAGGCCCAGTATAGAGAAGGAACTCACCCAAGGGCACCTCCAGTGAGGGTACTTGGAAGGGCTGGTTAAGGTTGAATTAGAACTGTACAGTGTTACTCACACCATTAACCTTCCAGAACTGTGGTACCCATGGCACGGGGACATTCCATAATTAATGGAGGATAGTGTAAGCAGGGGTTAATACAGTACTCTTTTTAGGAAAAAATGTTTCTTAGGTGGATACTTTGGGTGGGACTAGCTACATCCCTTATAATCTAGAGCCAGAAGAGCTCAGGGCAGAGGTTGATGGGCCATATACTACCATGTAAGATTGTAGCTTTTCAGAACTGAACCCTTTGGGGTAGGCCTGGTGTAGGCTGTAAGAAAGAACCCACCTATGGGGACCTCCATTGATGGTACCGGATGTGCTGCTCAGCATCCCTGTGTTAAAGTTGATTTAGAACTGTGCATAGATACTGATGTTAAGTACAAAGAGTCAGAGGTGAATCTGTGTTTTGGAAGTGAACTGTGCATCCTCTTACTGCTACAGTAAAAAGGCTAAACATATTTCTGGAGGTGGGCCTCTGGCTGGGAGAATGTGAGTGATCAAGATGGCAGAATTCCCCCTCGTGGTGTGTGGTGCCCTATCTCAATCCTGTTGCAGGAAGATGGTGGTAGGGGCCCTTGGCCAGCAGGTGAACTTCTGGCAGTGAATCGGGGCCTTGATAACAATACTGATATATAAAACACTTCCTGTGCCTTTAGGTCTAATCATATTTCCATTTTATTTAATTTTACCTATTATCACACAGACTGGACTTCAAATATGGCTTTCTCACTTCATCCACATTACATGTTATATTGATGGATTTTTATGTTTATTTTCAGCTAACAAGAAGTGGTATTGGCACTGTATTTCTGGAAAGATCAACAGGGATTTTCTTTGCTTGTTAAAAATGTTCTTAAGCTAAAAAAAAGAAACTAATAAAGACACATCCAAGGACTGGTTAGCTGCAATATAATACATGTTTTAAAGAGCTCATACACATTAAGTGACTATCTTCTGATCCAGCTGTTTTTGGATGGATCAGAAGACTATCAAATCTTTTTCGGGCACCTGAACATGTTGGAAAACCTTGTCCACCCATTTATACTTTCTCCCTTTCTGCAGTGCAGTACCTTTTATCCTCTCCATATTCTAAATATGAGTGGTTGCACAATCAGACAAGTGACTGAGGACAGTTAAGTCTGTAGTGGAGTGCCAATTTATTCACCATGCTCAGATGCAGACACGTGTTCTTTTAATTTCTCCCACAACTTCAATCAGGAGAAATGTTCTGTGTCTTAGGCTAGTAGAATTTACACTAGTACAATTTAATTTTATCTTTTTGTTTTAGGAATGTTTGTTTAATTTTCTGGTTAAATTGCAATTTTTTTACAGCAGTCCCAAGAACATTAGATGGAGCAGGACAGAACATTTTTTAATGAATTTCTAACAGTGAATGTAGTGCAGCACTACCCTCTTGAAATCTGCGGGTTTTGGGTCCCCCTTTACTTCCTGCACAGCCTAGCAACATGCATTTTCCACTTGTATCCAGACACAAGAAACAGTCCACAGGCTTGTTTTATCGTTTTATTATGGGATTTAACATGGATAGGGTAGAGGGGTTACCGGATGCCCAACTATTGCAGAATAACAAATTGAGGACAATTTTCTACTCAAAAATACCACAAAAATGGCAGAGGACTGTTTTTCAGCTGGATCCCTGACAGTCTTTAGTGAAGTAAGCAATTTGCAGGAGCTCTGAATCCCCTTGGATGGATTTTTAGCAAAGACCCAACTTGTAGGAGCCCTTAGTCACCTAAGTGAATAAAATACCAGCCTACCTGGCTATGGTATCTGATCCTAGTAGAAGGGATTGGGTAAGCTATAAACTGCCCCCTGAAGACTTGCCAAGAACTTGCATCCAGCAGACTTCTCCTTATTAGGCCCTGGGAGTGTAGAGATACTCACACTGTTCTTTCTGCAGCTGTGGATAGAACTGCTTTCGGGCCTTAGTAGCTTGGCTGGTTTCTCTCCAAGCTTTACAGGCTGTCCATCCCTGGTGGACTGCAGGGCAGTGGAGCTTCCTCCTTCAGCTTTCAGCCTTCAGCTTGGAAGCAGAACACCCCCCTTGCTACACAGCAGCACCTCTCAGCACTCCATCTTCCATCTGATTCCCCTGCTGGCCAGGCTCTGTCATATTTATGGGCTGGTCTGCCACACTGCCAGGCCTCCTACCTGGGATTGGTCAGACTGCCATAAATATGCAGATCAGCCCCTCACCTCCGCCTACTGACTTCTAGCTTTTAGAGCAAGGGGAGGAACCAGAGGACTGATCTGTACAACCCTTGAGCCTGACCTGAAGTAATTCTCTGTCTAACCCCAGGAATCTAGCAAGCCTCTAACTACTCTTAAACAAATGTATGTATACCAGAGGGCACTGCAGTAGTTTCATTAGAGAATGTCCATTCATTCCAAAATCTTATTATCAAAAGCAAACATTATTTTGAGGTACTTTTGAAAGATGAATTTGTCAAGTCATCAAATGTACTAAAAAGAATTTTCTTATGAACATTCATTCAAATATCAGCTAGTGTATGGCCAGCTTTAATGCTAGGTGAGCAGTGAAGAAGATGCTTGGTGCCTGAGTCCACTTTGATATTGTAAATCAGCTGCATGGTTACGTAATCTTTAAAGTGGTTCTAAAGGCAGAAGGATTTTTACCTTAATGCATTCTAAACATTAAGGTAAAAAACCTTCTGGATGCAGCTCCCCATCAGCCCCCCTTATACTTACTTGAGCTCCATCTCGCTCCAAGCTCCAAGCCGCAGCTCTCCCGAGTCTCTCTCTCTTCATTGGCCAATGGCTCCCGCTGCTGTCAATCACAACCAGTTAGCCAATGAGGAGAGAGCAGGGAAGGGCCAAGTTGTGCTCTGTGTGTGAATGGATAATGTTCATTCAGAGGAGCGTGGCTTGGGCACGAGCCTGCTCTAGTGCCCCCATTACAAGAGGTTTACTTTTGGAGGCACTTGGTGGGGGATCCAAAAAGAAGAGGATCGGGGCTACTCTGTACAAAACCATTGCACACAGAAGGTAAGTATAACATTTTTTATTTTTTTTTTAAATTACAACCTTTAGAATCACTTTAACCTCTTCCCGTCCGACCCATGTCGATAAACGACTGGACGGGAGTGCTGCTGATGTGGGGGGACATTTCTAAACGTCCCACCACATCCCTTGCCTGTGCATGCTCCCTGGAAGCGTGCTGCACCACGACCGGTGTCCGCTGTGTCCGGAGGACACAGAGAAACACAGATCGCTGTGTGAGGTCCCAATTCATGTGATCACTGATTGGCCAATTAGTGATCACATGAATAGTAGTAAACAAGATGTCACTTCCTGACATCATTGCTTGCTACTTGTGAAATCTGTGAATGATCACAGAGGTCACATGGTACAAGGCCATTCACAGCAGCCTTGTACAATGTGACAAGCTGTGACCAATCACAGCTCACACAGTATTTCCCAATGGCTTCAGGAATGCAGCCAGAGAGACAGAGAAATTATTGCTTTTACAGCCTTTATGGGTGTAAAAGCAATCAGTGTAAAAAAAACTTCATCACCCCCCCAAAAGTAGTACAGTGTCACTATGGTGACACTGTACTGCTAGGGTGACAGAATGTAAAAAAACCCCCATAAATAATAATAATATAGAAAAATAAAAATGTAAATAAAATTTAGAAAATTATAATTTTTGGTTATAAACTAATATGGGTTATTTTTTTTTTACTAAAAAGATAGATGAATACAGTTAGATCAAGATTTATTAAGAAATATTATTTATTTGCAAA